CAACAACTATTTATTGTAAACATGATAAGTTTTAAAACTACGCTACTATTCATCGACTGTCTGCAGAAAGAATACACCGATTATACTCTTTTTTTGCTTTTATAAGGCGGGCACAAGATCTTTATGAAACTAAATTTTAAAACCAACAAGTTTCTGCTGCACCTGTGTGAAACCAGAGTGATATACAAGAATAATAAATATAATAATTTATACTTTATTGAGTAAATAGGTTGGCCAAAAACCAACCTTTTTTGGAGATGTATTTGAAATACTGTTTAGATACTTAGTCTTGTTTCTTTTTTTATTCAAGAGGTCAGCGTTTGATCATTGGTAGGACTAGAGTAAAATTCTGAATTACATAGAATGCACAACGTACACCCACACCTTCTTTAAATTTAGAATTTAACTATTTGTACTTTGAGCCAAGCAGGCATATGTTCTACATTTCTAGATTTTGTTCTTGAACTAACTCTAATAAGATTTTTGGATGTATGTGGAACTTTTTATCATTTTGAAAACTGATAGCGTTGCTCATTAGGTACACAAAATCCAAAATTAATTTTGTCATTTTCAAATATACAACTAAATATTTATAAAATTACACCTATTCCCCAAGCTCTAGCTTACTGAGACAAACAAATAAGTTTACTGACACTGCAAGAGCATTTTCTGGAAAACAAAGCTGTTTGAAAAGAGAAAAATACTGCTGAACTGCAACATTGCAGTTATACCGACGAGACATACGAAACGAAGTTATTCTGACGACACGTAGCTGTACATATTATGAAAATATTTTCCACGCACCATGTTACATATTATTTTGAAGACGTAGCAAATTACTATCAATATGTCACACGTAAGCTGAACCTGTGTAATAATTTCATAACGCCTATTATATGAATAGGATTACGGAGTAAACCAATTAACAATATTGTTTACGTTTATTCCGTTTTTTCCTCTTGTCTGCACTAAAATATTTAATTTGTTTTTAAAACTAGATGAGGTAAGTAAATGGGCTTGGGTATAGTAGTTCCATAGGCCAGACTGTTTCTAAAAAATAAGTTCGGCAGACGATATCGTCAGAGTTGCTGTAAGATAATGAATGAGGGATGTAAAAACAAGGAAGTGGTGCCCGTGTCACTACACGGGCTCTAGTGATAATCTCTGAGCTCTAATGTTTATCAAAACTAAAAGTATTTTATATACATGTTTATTCATCTTAAACTGTCAAACACCAGGCGGTCACCGGTGACCGCAACCTATTGTTCTATAATAGTGTCTACAAAACCGGTACTCGACGAGTTAATAGACATAAAATGAGTCATTAGTGTTCAATGATTTTGAATATTTTCCAAAACACAAACATCATAATTATGTGAAGTCAAAAACCATCGGAAAATAAAACGAAAATGCAAAATATTTACAATGTACACAAAGCACCGCTAATTAGTTCGTAACGCTCACATCGACACTACTGTCATTTACACAATGTACATGTGTGGGTAATTTCATATTACTGTGTATAAAAATATTCGTCCACCACGTTCACATTGGTATTTTCATTCTTGTGTCGGTATACGTATTTTTATAATTTAATGCATGGGTAAGGTTAAAACTATTTACAATCATTGATATGACCCGACATTTTCATTGTAATTATCGTAGTGCTCGTGGTCGATTGGTTAATGAGTACGCTCTTATCGTCTTTCAAGGATCAATGATGATGTGGGTTCTATTCCAGCTAAAAGTTTTTTTTTATTTTACCTTGTTGTTTTTCTTATTTATTTTTTTTTTGTTTTTTGTCATATAATATAAATATCAGGCTATAAAAGAAGCAAATCAGTCGGTAAATAAAACAATACTATTTTTTATTAAAATTAATTTATTAATTATACAAATATGTGGTTTTATATTCAATATTTATATCTAATAATTAATTATATACCACATGTTAACTTTAAAGTTCTTCCAATCATTCTAAATTATTCTAAATAATAAATAACTAGAACTAAAATATAAATAAAGGATATTATAGGTATAAATAAATCTAAAGTATTTACTATTAAAATTAACATAAGATTTAGAAAAATAGGATAGGAAAAAAAGAAAAGATTTAATTGTTTCTAATTTCACATTTCAAATATTTGATTAATTAATACTAAAACAACATGTGAATGCTGGAATCGATCCGGTGGCACTTTACTTGACCACTGGAGGCGATAACCATTGCGCCAAGCGCGCCGTAGATGAAAACATCGAAATATTGTATATCATTCAGTAACATAAAAATACAATGAGAATGCACTATATTTATATAAGTATTGTATTGCTCGATCGTTCATTATTTTTGATTTCGATTTATTCAAAGTTTGTTATGAGTATTTTTATCTTTACCCTCGTTTTTATTTAAACTTATTTACTAAAATATTACGTATACCGACACAAAAATGATATGTAATACCAAGATGTGTGTGATAGAACGAATGTTTCTATACATATCTATTAATATGAAATTACCCACACATGTTCACTGTGTAAATGATAGTAATGTCGATGTGTAGCGCCTCGAACTAATTAGCGGTGCTTTGTGTACATACCCCACATACTAAGTAGGTACATAAAATTAAAGATTATACGTCACTTTCGTAGAAATTGATAGGGTAAATATTATCGCGGAGGTGAATGTTTGTTTACTTAATTTTGGCAACTTACTATCTAAGTTTAAAGTTAATTTTACAAGGGGCCATGTTAAAGGCTATGAAAACATTTATGATACTAGAAGTTAGTTATAGTGAAAATTGTATAACTATAACAAATGTTAACATTAACATTACATTTTAACATTAACAATTATCAGTAACATTCGTTATTTTAACATTACAAGTTAAGTAGTACATCTATAACAAATCTTAGAATTAGGTACGTTTGTTTGAAGAAAGGGAACAGCCTATTGGCATTTGAATAATCAATCGGTGTTCTGATAGACTACCATTATTGATGGTTGTGTAATAACTCGGAGTATATTATTATCTAACAACACGCTATGGTATCTAGAAACCACAGCGAAGTAACATTTTTTTCTAAATAAGTATTTGTTTGTGTTAATCAGTATCTAAGACACAATATGTGTATGTGTACTTATAACCCTGTCTCCCATGGGGTTTTTTTAAGGGGGAAAATCATCGAATGGCTGCTCCCTCATGTGAGGCGAGAAGGAGTGTCAGACTCTTACTGACTAAAAACCACCCCGTACCTTCTCCTGCACGTCGAGCCGGAGCCCCGGTAACCCGTTGGGTTCTCCGCGACACGCTCGTTGGTTAAGGGTAATTTTAATTTGGCTTTTCTTTAATATCAGTATCTAAGAATTCTACAATAAATACAGAAGGTATAAAAGTAATACGCAAAATTGGCAATTTTACGCGAATTGATAAGTAACAATGAAACAATAAATCTGTATCAATAAAATAATGAACATAATAAAGCACTTCAAGGAAAAAAATAAGATTAATTCCTCAATGGAATCGAAAAACAGGTATGCAATAGTTTATGAGCCTGATTATCGACCATGTACTGTATAATGACTAGGAAATTATGGACAATGGTAAAATAACCATTATCAAAACTCAAGGGAATAAATCCCCCGACCGCTTGTGCAATTATTCAAACCGCACATGTATGTCAACAAACAAGGCAGTCTTGTAGCTTTGATTTAAAAAAAATAAAAAATTATCGCTTGTACAAGTTACACAAAAAAAATAAACTAAAACATCATGTTATCACCACTAGAGGTCTGACAGTGACTGATACAGTCTTGTATCTCGCTTCACTGAGATTATTAATTTCACCTTGACCAATAATAATGGCCGCTTTATATTTAGATCCAAACTGGTGCTACTGCAGCCATTTTATTTATTAAAGGCATCGTCCTGTTCAGGATGTAATCATGTTCATTGCATTCGAAGGGGGCACTTTATGTAACTAGTCCAGTTGGATTTATAAAATCTCGTTGTTTTTTTCGTGGCATAAAAACAAAATTTGTATTTATTAACTGGATTTAACGACATATTATCTATTTTTGAGTCTCATCTTGTTTAGGTCGGACTTATAATTGTTAACTAACATATTATCAACTCCAAATTCAAAATCATACTATTTTTATATTTGATGAGCCGATGTTTGAACACTATCTCGCCTATACTTGCTCTCATGGAACAAACTATGTCTGTGCCGACCACAAATAGACATTCTTTTTCACAGTTAATTTTCGACATGGAAACCTGGTTATAGATTTGCATTGCACTGAACTTCTAATGTGTATCTAATCCCAAGTGTATGTTTATACCAAACCCAGCATAATAAAGCAACCCAACCAGACCAACAGATTTTCCACTTTATTAATAAGCCATAAAGTAAAAATTTATTAGATATAAAAAAGAAATTGGACATAGAGGACCTTTATGTGCCACCTGTACAACCAGTCCGTTATATTATTTATCTGTATGCAATATTCCCATTATCTAATCAATGCCTACTTTGTGGTAAGAATCAGAGATAATAATTATCTTATTTCATAAACAATTTAGACAATGAGACTAATTGAATAAGTCATCATTTAATCAGAGTATTAATAATTAAAATTATACTTAACTACGTCATAAGTAGTAGCAATGACCCTGTTAGTACTTAGTACAATTTCTAGACTAATGATTCATTTAATAGTAACTTTTGGCTAATTTTTCATAGTGATGCCAAAAAAAATATTTCTTATGATAACATTTGTGTTCCAGGTCTGGGTGTTACATGCGTGTGAAATTTTATGTTGGTAAACACACCCACAGCACAGCCCATGGCTCAAAAACATCTAAATGAAATTCGATGCGACTATCACCAGTAAAAAGAAGGATTTGTGCTGGAAGATTAATGTATACTTGGTAAATATTTGAGTATCGTATGTAGCCGAAAATAAGTTCTAATACCTATAACAAAAAGACGAAACTTACCTTTCTCCCCATTTAGGCACTCTGTTTGTCTTCGTTAAAACTCTCTTTGTGTACAGACATCCATCTTTCACTTCTCTACTCCATGTATCTTCTGACAGGACATGAGTACTGAAAGCAGAGAAATTGTGTAAAGCACTTCAGTATGAAATACCCTAATTTTGACCATTGGGCTATTCAATTATTTTTATATACCTAGTTGTTCTTTATCATCAACAGCACATAGTCCGTTGTTCAACAATAAAATTCCTCTACTGAAGAGTTTGCCAATACCATTCCTAGAGTCGGTAATAATCTCACTGATTTGGTAGGTAGGTTAGAGATTGGCAGTTTAAAAGGTTCATGTTTGGTGCAACATAAAATACCCAAATTCAGGTACAAGACAGTTAATATCGTTATTTGTTATTGATATTTTATTTTCCATCATTTATAACCATTTGAAATCAGAATGGTAATTAGGTTGATGATAATTTAATACTTTTAACACAAAGCAACAGACAGAATTGAATGCAGAACCTGTTTTACTAATGGCAAACAATTTAAAATAAAAACAACATAAACATGACCAATAAAATAGCTATCGGACATAAAATACTAATCTTAGCATCTCAATTGTATTCAATGAATCAAGATTACTTTTTAAACTGTCAAACACCAAGTGGTCAACGGTGACCGCAACCTATTGTTCTTTAATTGTGTCTATAATGACGGTACTCAACAAGGTTTAATAACTTGCATTAAAGAGTTTTGCAATTAAGTGCATAACTTTCAAAACTACAATATGATTGTAAGACTACTAAAATGTTATCTATATTAATATTATAAAGCTGAAGAGTTTGTTTTTTGTTTGAACGCGCTAATCTCTGAAACTACTGATTGGAATTGAAAAATTATTTTTGTGTTGGATAGTCCATTTATCGAGGAAGGGCTATATGCTATAAAACATCTCGCTACGTCCAATATGAGCCGAGCAGAGCGGGTGAAACCGCGCGCAAGTAGCTAGTGATGTATAACAAGCAGGGACATATTTTATCTTGAAAAATAATATAACTAAAAAAGATTTATTCTATTCGGTTATTGATGAATTTACTTTAGTCACCATGACATTAATGTGTATGCTTGACCTTGTATTGTATGACGACCAGCAAGTAAAATTTCTCTATTACATCTTCAACTTTATTGTATCGACATAGAGTCGAAAATCCAATGAATAAATTTGATGGTTAGAGTAGGTTGATATGCTAGCCACTGTGGTTGTAATGCTCAAAGGCGTTTATTCACAATGACTAGCTACAAATCAATATTTCATGTGTTTTACTTTAATTTTATCTTATTGCATGTGGCATGAATGCATGAGCATGCATGAAAAGATTGATGACTGTTAATGAAGCGAAAGAGGTATGTAAGAATCATAGTAATTGGCGTTCCTTAGTCTCTGCCTACCCCCATGGGAGACAGGCGTGAAGTTATGTATGTATGTATGCATGTGGCATGTATGTGTACTAAAATATTACTAAGTTATTGAATTATATATAAGGGAGTTAGATAGTATTTTGTCAAGTTTCATATTATTGACAATAAACACATCTGTTTCTAAAAGATCACTTTTAGATTTACTGTAACTTAAATTACTGTGTTTAATTATAAAATTAACACGTTAAACGCCATGGCAGTCACCGGTGACCGACATTAGCGGAGGATTTGCCTTCAACAGTTTTTTATTGGCAGTCAATGCCTTAAACACATTAATTTATTATTTTTAATCATATTTCCTTTTCATAAAAACACATTACACATCTTTTTACTTACTGGGAAAGGTTAAAGACTAACTTATATTTAGCATAAAATTATTAAGTGGTAATTTTTATGGCCTCATGATTCATAAATTTTAAATCACCAACTTATATGAAGTGGAATAGAAGTGTTACCTCTACAGCCTTGATTTAAATGAATAATAATCATTTAAAATAATTATCTCAAATAATATTATTTAATAAACAAGGTTATATTTAACTTTACTGAAATAAGTTTGCAAATACATATTGTTAATAAAAATACTTTAAATTATAATACAGCTTTTGCCACACATAACTACACATACTTGTGAACTTTGATCACTTCAATGAATTATTAATTTTTCTTTTCTTATAAATAACAGGTTGGACTTACCTCTGAGGGTTTGGATACCTCTTCCAGTAGCCGCGAGTGACTTGATCCCAACTAAAGTTAAAGGTAGACGTGTTTTCAAAATATCTTGCCATTTTTATAACTTTTCTGGGTTACTATTTTCTTATTGGAATGATTGTAAACAACGATCTGACAAGTTCAGCATGCCACCAAGCTCATTATTTCTGCAAAAACAAGAATGATTCCATAATAATTTTGTTTTTCGCACGATTTTTGAACCCGTATCCGATTACATAAACATAATCTATGTAGGTCATAAGATGAATATATTTATGTTGAGCGCTTTACCAAACCTCTCGCGCACAAAGGCTTTGTGATCATGGTCACGTATGTCGACAGGTTTAGAATTTAACGAAGTAAACAACGTTCGTTAAACTTTACTGCAGTGTTCGAGGACAATATTACAATGACACCGAGCGGCACATGTGCCGAACTAAACTGTCAAGAGTTAAATAACACCACATTCATTCAAAGTAATACCTATGTCTTTGTATATCTATCTAATTAATATCAACAACCTCTAAGTAAAGTAATATTATGAACTTACCAATAAGCCGGAGGATTATTGGATCCAATTTTCGTGTGATCAAGATTCCGAAATTGAACTTAACACGTCTACCGACGCGGTCAACGATGTCTATTTTGACCGTAAGTTAAATGAAACAGTCGCGAAACACATGTTATCATTCATATTTTCAGACTCGTTTTGATAAAATTTTGATAACTATTGACAGATTATTCGAGAGCCCATTTGTAATACAGATTACATGCGTGAATGAATGGAAATGAATGACAGAATAGTCAGAACCATAGACATGTAGAGGTAATATACCGGAAGTTCGTTTAGATTGGGCACTGACCACCTCGGCCACCACGGCCTATCGTGTAGCAGAAGCGCGGGCCGGATAGCCCGACACGCCAGCATTAACGACATCATCCGTCGAGCTATTGTCATCGCCGGTGTACCAGCTGTTCTGGAACCAAAGGGTTTGGCACGCGACGATGGTAAGAGACCCGACGGTATGTCCATTATGCCCTGGAAGCTGGGAAAGTCTTTGGTGTGGGACGCAACCTGCGTCGACACCCTTGCACCTTCTCATCTTCCAGTAACGGCGAGTTGTGCTGGTTCGGCTGCTGCCTCTGCAGAAAACCTCAAGCGGCGCAAGTATAACAACCTTGCTGGTAGTTATATCTTTGAGCCGTTTGGGGTTGAAACGTTAGGTCCGTGGGGTCCGAGTGCGCTTAAATTGTTCAAAAACATTTCGAAACGCCTGGTCGACACATCTCGTGACCAGAGGGCTGGTCTTTTTCTCGGTCAGAGGTTAAGCATTGCCATACAACGTGGCAATGCTGCCAGCCTTCTGGGTACTTTCCCCACTGACGTCGATGCGGACGAGTTTTTCGATGCCTTATAAATAGTTTATTTTTCCTATAATTCATTTTAATCATAAGTTGTATATATTTAATTTAGTAATATTTAGTTTTAATTTTATTTATGTAATAGTTGTTATTTAAGTTTTTTATTCACCAAATAAATAGATGTCGATTGGGCACTTAAATTCTCGACAAATATTCGGATTATTTTGATGACAGCGTCATCTAGCGACAAAAACAAACAGTAAATGTCAGCTCGCTTCCGGCTCGGCATATTTTGCTCGTACTTTGGAATAGCACTGAATTTTAACTAATGAAATGCTTTTTTCAGTGATCTAACTATTATAGCACCGAGACCGAGAGGAGAAACCTTGATGTCTATATTTCTTTCGAAAGAAAGTAGAAATATTGTAGACATGTTTGTAGGTACATACAATTACAATCATTCCTTGTGCGTACTGCTAAGGAGTGAAATTCTTTGTCAGAATCTTCCAGAGGGAGTCTTCAAGGACCGAGTGAATAGGTTGCTTATTAGCCCGACATACTCCATCGTAGACCGCATCATCGCTTACCACCAGGCGAGATCACTATCTCGATATAAATAAAAGCCCAAGGAGTGTACTACCTACAATGTAGCTCCTACATAATTTATTATCTATGTAACAGGAAGTGCTTTGAAAAAAATTAAGAAATTTGCAGATTTTCAGTGACAATTTGAAAAAATGGCCGCGTTCGCATGTTTCAGTAACAGTAACGAAAAAACAACAGCTTCGTACCGAGCACTTATACAACGATTAAGAGATGAAGGCCAAAAGGCGGTTTGTTCGAAACATTCATTTAGATGTTACTAGATATACCTATGTACCTCGACGACATCGCCAGAGTCGCGAGGACCCAGTGGATGCAGGTGGCGAGTTGTCGTTCGACGTGGAGGACTAGAGGGAGGCTTTTGTCCAGCAACCCCCCGCCTGTTGATGATGACGATGATTATTATAATACCTATGTAGAAACATGCAGAAAATTTTGCATAAATCGTGCCAACAGTCAACATAACTTGAACCATACTAAAGTATTATATTTTACTCCATATATTTATTTCAAAATTCTCTATAAAATACATTTTTAAATACTACTTATAAAGACAAAAATAATATTTAAAAATATAAAAAATAGGAGCCGACCAGTAGCGGGAGCATGGTCCAAGCTACCGGTGGTTAGGGCTCCAGAGACAGAAACCTCCTCACGATACGTGCCGTTTCAAGGAGAACTGCCTTCTGTATCAGGCCCTTGACCCAACTACCTAACGCTAGCCTCCTAAGGTGGTTGTCGAGGCTATTAGGGATTAACCCATTGGCCGATACGACTATCGGCACAATGATAGCCGAATCTACATTCCACATGTCGACAACCTCGTGAGCCAAATCAAGATATTTGATTTGTTTATCTTTTTCAGCTTTCACGAGGTTCTCATCATGAGGAATAGTGATATCGATTATCATCGTGCGGCGCACTTGTCGGTCTATCACCACTATATCAGGTTTGTTGGCTATAATAGTCCTGTCAGTGATGATAGACCGGTCCCAGTACAACGTGATATGGTCATTTTCCAGAACTGGGTCGGGCACATACTTGTAGTACGGTACCTCAGACTCAACAAGTCGATAGTGTAAAGCAAGTTGCTGATGGATAATCTTGGCTACTTGATTATGCCTATGCAAATATTCACTGTTAGCCAAACGACCACAACCAGAAATAATATGTCTAATGGATTCACCAGGACTATGACATGCCCGACATATGTCAACCGTCCCATCCTTAATTATATATTTCCGGTAGTTATTCGTAAGGATAACTTCGTCCATAATTGCACAGACAAATCCTTCAGTTTCTCCAAAGAGATTACTGAATCGTAGCCAAGACACGGACGCTAGAAAATCTACACTGGGCCCATGAAGGGCCCGGAAGAAGCGTCCGTGGAGCTCCTTGCTATGCCATACCGCCTTGCGATCATTGACGCTCAGTACCACAGGTTTGCGCCAGTTCTCTTTTGCCAAGGATAGCGGAGTGAATCCATTGTCCACCGCTGCTACTTCTCGATGCATACCCTCGTTGACTTTCAGGAAATATTCCCTGAGGCTGCACACCTCACGGTTGTGAAGGGTCTTAGCATTTAATAAGCCTCGACCACCACACTTCCGCGGGATGTACAACCTCATGACCGACGAACGAGGGTGATGCATGCGATTTGCAGTCAGCAGGGTCCGGACTCG